TTATTGTGTCTTGAAGGAGCATGGATGAATGATGGTTCCTTTTGCTCTAAAAAAATGATTGCACAGTTGCAACTTCACACATGTCAGCTGTTCCACAAGACAAAAAGAAAGAAAAAAAGGCCAAGGAACAATTGGATGTGAAACTCAGACTTTTACATGTCCCACTCGCACATTCTTTGCAAACAGCAAGGAATTAGAGATGGGTAGAAATCCTTATTTTTTTAATTTGCAATTTGCCAGTTCATTTGTTGCCAGCTAAATAAAGGCTGGCTAGATGCCACTGGTAATGGTGCATGCTAGGCTTCCTCGTGTCTCGGAGAAACACTGTACACAGTGCCTGTCTGCAGTATTCCTGAGTTCTTCCATGCAAGTCAAGAGTTGTCTTCTAGAATATCTTTCCTAGCGACTTGCAGTTCTGCCCCTCGAGTGCTCTTTCAAGGCAGCTATGGGACTGCTGCTCTTACGGTGCAGCAGTTACTTAAATTGAAACCAGCAAGCCCAAAATAGCTTTATAAATCTTGTGGATGTTTATGTCTTTTTAAGGATGCATGTGCTATCATGATGATTTCAAGGACTCTACTGTACTTAGGAGCAGAAGGGACTTTTCTGCTGAGTACTAAGGAGAGTAAGTGGTGCCATAGTCTCTTAAATTGTAGGCTAGCCATGATGGGGTGTTTCTTCCAAGACCTCCTAAGGACAAGACTTTGAATAAGACAGAAAGAACAGTGTAGTCCATGGAGCTGAAATAATCACTTCTTTGAGGAAAGTGGTATGCACAGCATTCTAAAAGTAGAATATACCAAGATGCTATGGCTCACTCTGCATTTAAATGGCTTGTTTTATTTCCATTAGTTTTCCCTGTATGTGAAGATACTTCTTTTTTTTTTTGAATCTTTGCTTATGCAGACTGCTTATACAGAAATCCTTCTCTGCTCAACCCTTCCTTTCAATATCTATTGAACCAACGAAGATTTTACCCTGCATCCTTTTCATTTGTTCTGCACTGTATCAACAGCCCAATACAGAGGTTTGGCACCAATCCAGCTCAAAACATACCTCCTCCCAAATGTCACTGATCTATTTCTCTAACAATCAGATTTCCAGTGTATTTAAAAAGTGTAACAGCAGATCAGAGTGAACAGAGCACCTATGCTATGTTCCAAGGAGGTGATTCCGGTACATGATAGTTGCATTAACACACGCGAGTATTGTTTTGGCTCAACCCAGATGCATTTGCTCAGGCAGCCACTTTCAGTTAGGGCATCTGAGCTTATCCAAGGTGAAAAGTACCATCCTGTATCACCATCGCTGCTGAATTTCTGTTTCATAATTGTACAGGCCCTTGAATATATTTTTTTCTTCATTTTTTTCCCCATCACAGTCATAGATTTTGACTGAGTGCACCTTACTGTGGTGTGTCTCTGGGAGAACTGTGTCTGAAATGCACGTGCTCCAGTGTTCATTCTTTGCCACTTCCATTTGCACTGCCTAGTTAAGACAAATGGAATGAGGTTATACACAGCATTCAGAAACCAGTGTCCCTGGTACTAAACAAAGACATTATTTGGAATTCTGAAATTTTGCTTCTGACACATGTAGTTCCTACACTCAAGAGCAATTACGCCTTATCTCCACATTGCTCTGAATGTTTTAGCTGTCAAGTTTGGTTTAATTACTGAATTTCTGGTGTCAGGAACAATAGATATTTGTAGAGTGCATGCTGCTTTCATATGTCTGAGTTAGTGTGTTTTGTGACCTACTTATGTCTCTGAATTCTTCAGGCTGGAAACACAGAATTTTAAGTTTAAAATAAATGTCTTGTGACATGACAAAAAATGGTGGTCAGGTGCCATACATACTCAATGTGACTCTTTTATAAGAATAGTAGGGATTAAACTGACATGTTTGTACCTAATGCTTCATTTTAGGCATGTTAGTTTCAATATATTGTGAATTCTAGCACCAAGACACAGTATTAATAATAGGATCTGCAGAAAAGAAGACATGTCTCCCTCATTGTGGTCAGCCATGAATGCTATATAATTCAGTCTGTAACTCCACAAACTCAGTTTCCAACAATCATTTATATTTCTATCTGAAACAGATGTGAAAAATTCTTTACACCATCAGCACAAATACTTATTTCGTCTATGCAGCTGTTATATTCCATAAAAGTAAGTTTAAAAATTATTTTAAAAAAGGAATCATTAAGAAATTATATGAACTCATACAAAGGAAAAAAAAATACCATACTGTTACCAAATAGAGCACCATCAAATGAATACATAAAAGCCTTCTCAAGATCCTAAACTAAGTGGGCAGGCTGACAGCAACTTTAATATGTAGGGGCAGTATTAGACCAAGTATCATACTGCAATATTTGCATGGGCCAAATGCTGTACTGCAGTATCTGCCAAACTGCAGCTGTGTTTGCTGCCACCTTTAATATCACAGCAGTGCTTCTCAGTCTGTTGTCTAATAGCAGTTTGTTATACACCAGAAAGTGGTTACAAACTAGCTGAAACATTAGAAACATTGCAAAAATCTAAGGAAAAATGGCACAATGAAGAAATAACTTCTAGTATTTATTAAGTTTTAGCCTAATTTTTATTAATGGTATTTGAAACTGTGGCAATACCATTTTTTTCCCGAAAAGCATCAGGTAGTCCTTTTATTTAAACTCTGCAAGAATATTGTTTTTCAGAAAGAAATCTAGCTTTATTCAATACCATGTGTCCCAGGTTAGGAATACAGTAACACGGTTTAGTGATGAACATGTTTAATTTAAGCATCAGACTAGAACTCTGCTGTGCATCGGTACAGGTATGGGGACACCACAACTGCAAGGAAATCTAACCTGCACACAGCTTATATTGCACGTGGCGCCACGGAGGCTGAGGTGCCGTGAACAAAACTCTTGTGAAATGACCCAGCCTCTCCAGCACCAAGACTTGAAGGGTGTTGTGCTAAACAGCACTGGTAATTCCTTACCTTAAATGGGAATGTTTTTCTTCACAGCATCTGACAGCATCACTCAAAAAGCAGGTACCTGTCTGTTCTTCAACCTTGCAAGATGTTCCACAACTTCACTAGGTTATTCTCCATCAACAGCACCGCTAAAGCATGCAGTTATTCTGTGCTTTTTGTGTTTCTCAAGTAGGTTTTCCACATGTTTTAGTGTCAAAATGAATTATTTCAGTTCTGATGTCATCACACGTCTCAGGATTATAATTTAAAGGTTATAATTTCACTTAAAATTTCTTCTATATTTTTGTGGAATAATGACATAGTGAATTATGACATCTGTGCATCAGTAGAAAATATCAACACCATGCTATTGTACAAAAAGCTTCCTATTTTTACTCAGCTCACTTTATGTAACTTCTCGTGTCATCACCATATCTTTCTAAAGAGGTATCAATGCATTGGCCTGCTCTCACCTAGCTGCCATCACATTTTTGAAAGCTGCTTCTGTAGCAGTCTGAACAGCATGTTCATGTCAGGCATGACAAGAGTGAAGAGGGAACACAGGAAGACAACAGAACTGCTCTCTGTTCAAAAGAACCAGTGGCCCAAATAACTCCTGTCTGGGTGCTAAATGCCACTTGGATTCTTCCAGAAGCACTTGGTAACTCTTCCAAGTTTTCATGCACTGTCCTTACAGCTCTTTCCTGGAATTTCGTTTGTGTTGCGCCGCATCTCTGCATCCTCATATTCAGCACTTCACCTTAGACAGCTGTATACTTTATTGAAAAGAAAACAAAACCCACAGAATACAGACTAATGGACAAAAGCATTTTCAGCTGTGTGCCCTGGAGCATTGCTGCTGCATTAAAAGGTTTAATTGGAGAATGTAGCAGTGCACAAAATGTGCCCTGTGAGTTCATCTTTCACTAGGGCTTGCATCCATTCAGTCTGGCCATCGTCACTGCTGCGCTGTCCTGTGAGCAGCAGGTCTGTGCACTTTGTGCTCATGAAGGACAGAGCTGATGGCTGCTGCCAAACCTCCGGGTGGTCCTTCCCTCCCGGGACTGCACAAAGCGTTCAGCAGGAACATCACCCTCCAGCAGGCAGCACTGTTACTGCCTGTGCTCACCAGGCACAGCGGCTGTTTTGCTGCCTTGGACTGAAACATGTTTGCTCTTTGAATGCCACCCTTGATATGGCCTATGGAAACTGTGTTTGTGCAGAATACCGCATTGGTGTAACTCAAGTGTCCTGAAAGGCTGGCAAGCTTCCACAGAGATTTCTTAGCACAGGATCATGCTCACATGACATTTAAGGTGCAGACCAGGAGGTCCCTGCCTCCAAAGACCTGGTTCACTTGTCGTGTCCTTGCTACACAAGCCACTGCCTTAGCTCTGAAAGGATCTTTCCATAATGTGTCCCGTTCCAATCGGCATTCTGGTGGTGCAGCGCATTTTCACACCGAGGCGTGTGAACAGCACTGGACCTCCCTGCAAGTTGCGGTAAAACCGCGCTTTGACGACGACGTGCTGGGCTCTCCGCGCTCTGTAGGTGCCCGCACCCTGGCCCGCTCCACAGCGACACCCCAAGGCGGCGGGCCGGGCCGGGCCGGGGCGCGCCGGGCGGCCGGCCGCCATTTCCAGCGCAGAAACGCTGCGAACGCTGCGGGGGAGCTTCCCGGCTGCGGCGCTGCGGCTCGCAGCGGCGCCACGGAGCTGGGGCGGCGCTCAGAGCCGCCACCTCCCACTCCTGCGCGCAGCGCACGGCGCCGCCCGTTCGTCACTGCTCGTCACCGTTTCCAACGAACGCCCCGGCCCGGCCCGGCCCCGCCCCGCCCCGCCCCGCCCCAGGAGCCACCGCCTCACGTCCCGCACCAGAGGCGCCTGCGCAGCAGCGAACACATAGGCGCTCTGCCGCCGTTACGTTGCGCTCTTCTATAGGCTGGCGCCCTTGAGGGACAGCAACGGTGCCCAATCGCAAGCCGCGACCCCTCCCAGGAAAGGAGAGGGCGGGACTTCTGGCGTGAGGCGGCCGGCCCGGCGGGCGGCGGTAGCGGCTGCGCGGCCGTTGCTGCCGTTATCATGGCTGCGGCCGCCACCGCCTCCCCGGCCGATAAGGAGAGGTAGCGTGGCCTGCGGCACGGCCCCGGTGTCGGGAGGGGCCCGGCGGGCGGGCGCCCGTGCGCCTCGGCCTGGCCGCCGGGCGGGAGCGTGACGCGGCCTGGGCGCGTTGGCGCCGTCGCGTTGGCGCTGGGGGCGGCGGGTTGCGTTTAGCTCCAAGCGGTTGGTTTGAGGAGGGTTTTGACTGCTTCTTACTTCCGTATGTGAAAAGGAACCGGGCACCTCTCTCACCATGCGAGGTGCTCGGGCCTCAGAGCTGTGTTTTGTTGTTAGCGTTTCTGCAGTGCGTGTCTTCAAAGGCAGTTACAAATACAGCGTTGTTAACAGCCTCGTATTGAACTTGCTGTGGCTGAAATGCTTAGTCATCCCGGTGCTTTCCGAAGTGGTGGAGCAGGGCTCAGCTTTCCCGTGAGCCCCGAGATGTGCAGCTCTGTGTCCTGCAGCCCCCTCCGTGACCGCGTGCAGGGGGTGACATGGGGGAGATTATCACTGCTCATTTGTTCTGTGATACAGGAAGTGAGAATTAAACCCTTCGTGGTGCCGGGGTGCTTCATGTTGCACAAGTGTGTCATTCTCTGTTTTCATCTTCAAAAGTAAACTGAGGAGACATAAGTGCAGTCTGTTGGTGGTTGTGAACTTCACACCTTTTCAGTGAGACAGACCCTTTCCTCAGAGATGCCACCTTTTAACCCTCATCAGTGACTCCCTGTCACTGAATACCAGTCTGCTCCAGATAATTTGTTCAATTTCTGCCTCCTCAGAGGTAGAGATACTGTGCGAGTATGTTTGCCTGATGAGAAGCAAGAGTGAGGTTCTGTCGCTCTTGGCCTTACATGTGCTTGACAAAATCTTACCTCTAGCAAGTCTCTTTAGTTTTTCAGAAGCTTTGTAACTTGTCTGAGTTTGGATAGATTTTTTTATGGGGAGAATAGGAAGCATAGGAAACAGGGACAAAAATCCTTGATAAAATCTGTTTTTTATCAAGAAATTGAAATTAATCAGCAGTGAGAGTGTTAGAAACTTTCAGCAAGGCTTCTGTAATTCCTCTGAGCTTCTGAGTGAAGTGTGTGTGTTAGATTTTATTTTGTGAAAAGCTGTAGGTCAAACATGCTCTTTCCACCTCCTTTTCTTTTTCTTCCCCCGCAAATAGCCTAGGAGGTAGCTTCTTCCTTTGTCTGTATCCTGCTTCTGAAACTGGTATCTGGCAAAGTCTCTTCGATGGAAGTGGAATTTTGCAATGTTTTTTAAATTAATCAAGGGGAAAGTAACCAGCTATTTTAAACTACAGAAACTCTTATGTTATGGAAACGGGCTGTTTTGTTTTGTTTTACCATTGATCAAACAACGAGTTTATATTCCTTAATCTTGTTATTTTTTCTCTTCCAGATTCATCTGCATTTATCCAGCGTATCTAAATAACAAGAAGACAATAGCAGAAGGAAGAAGGATACCTATAGACAAAGTAATTTGTGGGTGGCAGGGAAATACTTCTTGCTTTGCAGTGTACATAGGGAATTGGGAAATAGTTAAAACTAAGTCTCAAACAAAGCTGATCTTCCATTTTCCCCCTCAGCAAACAGACTGACTGGTAACTAGAAATTATAATGTGTTTGAAAGTAGCTTAGTGTCATCATGTGAACTGATCAGAGGAGCACTGGCTTTAAGTTTCTGCTTTTATGTGAGCAACCTTTGGCAGGAGATGAAGTGCAGAAAGATAATGCACTTGATAATCTACTGCAGAATTTACATGAGTGTTACAGACAGCAGTAGGAAGCAAAAGCTAATTTGATTGGTGATCTGGCTTATCAAAAAACTGATTACTTTTCTCATAGTAGTAAAAAAAGAAATCATAAGAAGTGAAAGAAGTCTTTTATAGTCAAAAATTCTTTGTTAAAATATAGTAAAAGACTGAAATTACTGAATTTCTGGACACATTAAAAACGGCTACTAAGTATATGTACCACAGCTACTAAGGATGTGCACCACGTGTACCAAGTTCTGTCCTTGACAGTAATAAAGGGACAAAGCACATAAAATGCATATGTTAAGATAAGTTCCAATAAAAGTTGTCTTTATTTGAGAGATCTGCTGAAAGTTGTATTTATGGGAGAGATCTGCTGTCCTGTGCCTGGAAAACTTCTGTTCTCAGTCATCTTTTTTATTTATTTTTTTAGTAATAGTAGTAGCAGTAGTAGTATAATAAATGTTGCTTCATTTCACTTATTTTCTCTAGGCAATCTGTTACTTTCTCCCCTCTCCTGAATAATTCTGTTTCATCTCTTTCCTTTTTTTCTTCTGATGTGACATCTCTACCTTTTTTTTTCCTTCTTGTTTTTTTTTTTTTTGTTTTTTTTCTAGACCATACTCACAACTTACTCTACAGCAGATTTGTCATGGTTTGTGCCTTGTCTTTTCCCATCCACTTTTTCTAGTTGTAGAGCATAGGTGGAAACTTTGAATCAAAGTATTACCACATATGTAACTAAATATTTAAAAATGAATAACTCAAATGTGTTCTGCAGGCTGTTGAAAATCCAACATCTACAGAAATCCAGGATGTTTGCGCAGCAGTTGGATTCAATGTACTTGTAGAGGTAAGAATAATAATAAAAAAAACTTGGTCTCTTTTTTTTTTTTTTTTCATTTTCTTTACTCACAAGCAGAGTTAAATTGTAATTGAAAAGCTTTGGTCATCAGCCAGAATATTTGTTTTCTTTGTGCAGTAACAACATAGTGGCAAAGTTTCCAAAGATGTTGGAAAACTATATACGAGGTAAAAATCATGTATCTCATAGATAATGATGCCCTAGCCTAGAAACAATAACTGTACAATGTCTATATGTATATACTTACACATTCTGAGAAGACTATACTAGATTCTTGAAAGTGCATCATGGAGAAAGACACAGTAAAAACTAATTCTGCAACCTAGAACTGTATAAATTAAATTTTAAAAAATATCTCAAATTGTCTCAAGGTGTTCTAGAAAAGTTTGTGCTGTGGAGATGAAACAAAACCTGTGTCACCATGATCCAGGTTGGTGGAATAGTACGACAGGCTCTTTAGCAAGTTACTTGGTGAATGTGCTTCTGGAAAAGCTAAGCGATTGCTTTGGATTTTAATGTGTTGGCTAAACGATGGATGGCACGGATGCAGAGTTGAGGTTATTAGTTTGATATGCTCAGAAGAATTCCTTGCAGGCTGCTGTGACTTGAATATTTACTTGGAAATAGTCAGAAAAATCATTCTGATGCTTCATATCCCTATTAAAAAAATATCTCTTTTCATTTGACAGAAAAATAAGATGTATCCCAGAGAGTGGAATCGCGATGTGCAGTACAGGGGTAGAGTACGAATTCAGCTTAAACAAGAAGATGGCAACCCATGTTTACCTCAGTTTCCAACACGTGAGTAGAGCATCTCTGTTAGGCGCTTTAACTGTTAGTAAAACAGAAATTTTTGGTTTTGTAATTTTTTGTGTTGTATTATCATCCTTGCTCAATAAATTACAATGAAAAGTTTGGGAATTCAACATCAAAAAAATTCACCTCTTTAAATCAAATACGGTAAAAAAGTGGAATTTGAAAAGTACTGTTTTTAATCCTGCTTTTTATTCAGTGCTTGAAATCAAAAAATAAAAGTCACGTACTGGCTGTAGAGAGCAAAACAACCATTTAAGATGTACGATGTAATTTCTCAGAATCGGTGTTGGTATTAAAATGGCTAAATTCCAGCTTTTTTTTAAGGTTACATGCATCAGTTAAGCATCTTTACAGGTGACAAACCGATAAATTACAACATCGAGTGTATGCTTATTTCTTCCAACTAAAGTGGGAGGGACCCTGAAAGTTTCATAACTTGTTATGCAAGATGAGCTATTCCTATTAATAAGTAAAAAAGCAAATGTGGCAGCTTTTGCATTTTTTTTTTCTGGCAATTGCTCAGAATGTAAAGGGGAAGATACCTATGAAAGGTGTGCAAGAAGATTGCTGAATTTAGAATGATGTAAATTCTGTTAGTAAGGTGATCATTTAAAGCTGTGCTCCATGTGGGAGAAGAGACACAAGTCTTTCTAAAGATGCTTGTACCAATTGTCTGGATATTTTGTGCCAACTACCTTGAAAAACAAGAGGAGAGAGTTGTTAGAAGAGTGTAGATGCTTTGGAGGCTATGAGGTCACCTGCCAGTCTGATACAGGTAATCCAGGAGGGCATACCTCAGTCGTGATGGCTCTGCAAGAGAGGCCTTAATGTGGTTTCAATAATGTCAGGCTTCTAGCAAGCTGTGATACTTCCAGTCCTTTTCTTAAGGATTTAATCCAGCCAAGGCTTTGCATGGTCTTCCAGCTGCATGTGGAAAGTCAGAAGAGCTTTTTGTATTCACTTTAACAAAAATAATCTGTGGCTGAAGACTAATTTTCAAAATGATGTGAATGTTCTTTACCTATGATGTATTCATTGCATACACTTTGTTTTCAGGTAAATCGGTGATGCTTTATGCGGCAGAAACTATTCCCAAACTGAAAACAAGAACACAAAAAATGGGAGCTGGGGAACAAAGTCTCCAGCAAGGAGAGGGAGGCAAGAAAGGCAAAGGGAAGAAAAAGAAATGAACCTGCAACTGGAGTAATCATTACTTAATGCGGATATGGATGGACACGTTACTGACTGCAACTTGGAAGTGAAAGATGTGGGGGGAGGGCAGGGGCAAGAACAGGTGAGGCCGAATAGAACTGCCCGCTTTTTCCAGAACTGGGATGCATGTAACCGCCTCTCTGCTGTGTCACAGTAAATCTGTCTATCCTCACACCCAACCTGCAAGCCTAAAGCTAACATCCAGTTCTGGAAGTGGAAGAACATGAGCAAATGCAGCAGGTGGGAGAATTACTCTTTCCAGAAGAAATATGCAGTGTTATTCAGCTTAAAATATCTTATGCAGACTAGATACCAGAGAAGAACTTGCCTTAGTACATCATTTCTCTGTACTAGTTAAATGATTATGTTATTCTGGGGATGGCCTGTGTTGCAAGCAGAAAAATGACTCTGTAAGCTTTCCTTGCCAATTATCTTTCACAGCTGTCAAGTGTATCAATAAAGGCAACAAGTTAATTTTGAAAAATCTAATTGTAAAATATTGTTGCTGAAGGTGTTCATTTCTCCCCCACAATCTTAAAGATGTCTCCTACGTACTGTAGAGATAATATTTTAACGTTTTATGCTAGTCAGACACTTCTGGCTATCTAGACATCTTGTGATCTAGCAGGGTAAGATAATAACTTCAGTTGTTTCTGCAGACCTAGCAGTTTACACGTGCTGTCTCTGGAGGATCTATCCTTGAAAATGCATGTAAAACTGAGGAGCTGGTGAAGCTGTTCTTCAGGAGCTACAGGAATCCACCTGGTAGGGAGAGGAGACAGATCAGCAAGTCAGTGGACATGGCCAGAGGCCGCTACTAAGGTGTTTATGCACTACACAGTTAGGAAAGTGTTAACAGGTGGTTGCAACTTGGGAACACATTGCCAGTGTGCAAGAAAGACTGGAGAGCACAGTCTATAAATGACCATAATTCACAGATTTGAGAGCTTCAGGTATTCCTGGCCCATCCCGAGAGTTGAGTAATTTCTCTGAAACCATATTTGCAGAAAAGTGAGAGCTGTTTGGAAATTATTTCATAAGAGAGAATAACTGCTCCATAATACTAATTTGAGGTGGATGGACTCTCTTCCAAAGTTGTAATAGCTAGTCACAGCTGTAGGCTGTTGGCATCAAAAAAATATGGAAGTCAAATCAGTGGGTATCTGTTTGCAATGGCTATAAGGTGAGTATCCAAAAAATTTGTATGCACTATGCTGCTGTGCAGATTAAGCAAGGATCAGAGAGACTTCCTGTTCAAATTTCAAGTAACAGTATCAAATAACAAGTATGTTGGTGCAATTTTGTTCTTTTTTGTTGGTAGTGATTTGTATTTTTACACACACACACACACACACACACACACACACACACACACACACACACACACACACACACACACACACACAAAGGCCTAAAGGACTTCTCAGAACTTGAATGTATTTTTTTGTCTTCTGCCCCGCCTTTGTTGAGAAAGATGACTTGGTTTTTTCAGTACATAATATCTATGGCATTGCAGTTGTGAAAATACTGGTATCTTCAGTTGATTGCTAGTGCTGTCAGGGAAGTGTCTTCTGGCATTTTAATTTTAGTGTTAAAAATGAATCTGTCAGTCAGTTCCACATTTTACTTAGTCTATTTGGGGACCAGCAGACAAAGAGGCAGGGAGAAGAGAGCTGGAAGAACACTGGACTTCTTGCTCTAAATGCCACCAATAGAGAGCCACGACATCTCTTTAAGGAGTTTGGTGCCTGGCAGTCTTGTTGTGCAGCGTGTCCAGCATTCCCTGTTTTCCCTGGGCCATCCTGCAGCGCGGCATCAATCTGCCGTGCAGCACGGAGGGGAATGCGCGCTCCTGAAGGCGGCAGCACCGGCACAGCCCGCGCGGCCCCGGGGATGGGAGATCTCAGTTGTGGCTCTTTCTTGCTCGGGCACTTTTAACTGTTTTACACATCGTGAAGACACACAGAATTATTTGTAGGACTTACTTTCATCTCTATTGTTGTGCAACTGAGGATTCCCCTAGTGGTTTTCAGATCATTATGCCCCAAGTACTGCTTCGTCACACAGGATGTAGAATTTCTCTGGAAATAAAAGGCTTAGGTCTACACCGCTTGCAGAACATACATTGCACAAGAAATACTTGTTGTCCGAAAAATCACAAATCTTAACATAATTTTCCCACTAAGATTTGCTATAGGACTTCGCTAATGTACTTACTATATTCCTAGCAGTAATGACAACTTATTTAGAATTGTTTTTATCTGTAGTCAGATCATTGTTGGGCCTATGTTTACTATTTAACATAATTCTGTGTAGTTGCATGACCTAGAATTTGCCATTTACTTTTACACTCTTCTTCCCTATGTGCATAAGAATTATGGCTGTTTGAATTTGAAATAGGACAAAGATTAAGGAATTAGTCCTAATATTTTTACATTGATTCTCAGATTTTTTGCACCAAGTGGAAATCTAAAATTTGTGCAACTGATTGATTGTAAAATTCTGACAAGACCAAAATGCAAACTCAAGTAACTTCAAGACTGTGAAATTAAAAGTTGTGAAGTTCTAACCTGGCAAGGTATAGTCCACTGCTTACAAAAAAGGTGTAAGCTCGGTCTTTCCAAACTACCTTGCTTTGTTTTGGCACGTTCCACTTATCATTATTATCATATTTTATTATTAACAGTTTATTCTATTAATATAATAATATATAATAGTTATATTGCTGTATCATTAATATAATTATATATTATTAATGTATTATATTGTATCGTTAGTATCATTAGTGGTAGTTGTATCATCATGAGGTCTTTATTGTTTTTCTCTGCCTATTAACAACTTTCGTTCTGCTTGCCAGATTTGGGAATGTGTGGGGTAAACTGGAAAAAACCTTTTACCTCAGGCAGAAAGAACTCTGCTCGTGTACCCATTCCCATTTTTACACTTCAGGAAGATGAGAAAATCAACAGGTGAGAGGAAAAACAGTGTGGAATAGGTGTAGGTATATTGCTTCCCATACACATTCCTAAAGGACCCTGCATTCCTGGTGATTCCCAGCAGTTCCTGGCGGTTCCCAGTAGGTCCGCCCGTGACAGCGTGCGGCTCAGCGCCGGCCTCCCAATGGCTCTGCCGCGCTGGGATGCGCTTCAGCAGCTCCACTGCACCGCAGGCCCGGCACAAGGAGCACGTCTCTCCATCACCCTTCTGCAGGAGTGCCTACTAGTTCCACAGTAATCTGGTTTGGGAGGAAAAGTCAGTATCTGTAAAGGCACTCTGCCTTTTAAACTAACTACATTTCTCTGTGTGTGGAGCTGTAAGATTCTCAAGAAATACTGAAGCCATTTACCAGTCCTGTCAGAATCTGTTTATTTGTATCCGTTTTTATTGAGCATACACAACTTCAGCACAGACATTGAGTGGAAGTGTCTAGTAACATCGTCCTACACATGTTGTGAAGACAACTTGGGGTAGAGCACTGATATAAGGGGCCAGCCCAGTGGAGCTATTTGCATGAAATGGCATCTTGCTGCAGAAAAGACTGTTTTTCTGAAGACAGCAGAGGAGTTAGTACTGGATCTTTACTGAAGTCTTCCCAGAAGTCTCTCAGTCTTTGGAACAGAGTGACCGTTCTTTGAGGACATGATATGTTAGTTATCAGAACTAAATCACTGTAGAAGCCCACAAACGTTGTAGATGGTCGTTTGTGTTTGCAACAACACAAACAACATTAAGTCTCATCAACAACGACTTTCAAACAAGTGATAGTTCTACCCTCCAGAAGAAATCTGATAAGGAGCACAAATTTAGCTGTTGGATTAAGAAATACTGGGTTTAAATATAGGAAGTAGATCTGAAGCCAAACTACTAAGTTAGTTCTGAGAAAGGTAAACGAATGTCACTCTAACACTTACCTAAAAGTGCTTTTTCTCACTGATAGTAGTGAAATTTTAAATAAATGACAATTGATTTGGGAATTAAGTTTTGTTTGTGCTACAGAACTGAACAGTTTTGGAAAGTCTCAGACTTACCAACAGCTTTTAGAAATGCAGTTCTTACAGCACTTTGTACCTAAGTCAAATAGAGCACAAAGTACAAGTATCATTATTTATTTTAATGAGGTGAAGCTAAACTACACTGACCACATACAACCGCTATGCATGTAGCTGTTTAAAATACAACAGGCTTTAGGATGGTTTTAAAGTTCAGTGGGCTAAAGACAGGAAGCTAGGACAAGAGAACAGATTGCTTATTGCGAGCCACTCAGCATTTCTACTTGCTCACATCTACAGCTTTGCTGTAAACTTTAGTCTTTGCTGTGCATCCGTTTGTAACCAAAAAGGCATCACTGAGTAATCATTCAAGTGTTTTCACGTGCATACTCCAGTATTCTGTGGTCTTCTTACAAATAACAAACGGAATACGCTGCAGGACTGAACATGAGGCTCGGTGCATTTCCTGTGTCCCTGCTGTAGTGGCTCTCTGACCAGCTGCGGGTGCTGTCTGACAAAGTCCCAGCTGTGTTTTCCAGCTTACTGGACACAGCTTACACTTAGGACACCACTACATCTCTTCTTATTATGGGTATCTCTCAGATTTAAAACTGATCTGCCACGTAATAGTGCATGCTTCATTCTTAGACAGTTCTAGCACCTGACAATTGAGACTGAATGTCTGTATATCAACTTGTTGTGGAAGACCGAAAGCGACTATTCTAAGGTTACAACTTACTCTATTTAGGTTAGTGGATATAGAAATCACTTTTTATCGTATCAAAAATTTAAGCTTGAACTTCTCCATATTCTGAATTCAGTTCTCTTCCTTCTTTCCATGAATTGCAAGACGTCATATTAACATCTTTGCTTGCATCCACACTGGTTGGTCAGGAGCAGACCAAGCAACCAAAACCCACATTTTTAGGAGGGGTTGTGGTGTGAATCACTGATGTCCTTCTGGGAACGGACATCCAGGGCAGTAACTATTTCAACAGGCCTTCAGAAACGGTGCCTGCAGTGGCATCACTCCTCAGTGAAAAGCAGTTTGTGCTTTCGAATGTCATCTTACAAGGCACTCTGTTTTCCACTTTAGATGATAACTTTTAACAAGAAAAGGCCCAAGGGTTGAACTTCAGCAATCTTGTGCTCTCAACTTAATGCATCAATTCCTGGCAAATTATTTCACATTTATGTAAACTGGATCAATGAATTAAGTTACTCTTTCCTATATTTAGTATCTATCTGTTTAAGAATACACACACTGTACCAAATATTGCAAGTTACAATGAAACATGCAAGAGTGAAGTGAATAATCTCTATTATCAGGCGCTCAGAACAGTTTCATCATTTACAGTTCCATTAATGGGGAATACATCCACCATGCCGCCTCCCAGTAATGCCCTGCATATTCAAGAGAATCCTTTCAGGCTACATCTTCCTCATATAAAATTTTATGTTAGCAGACACACCACAGTTAAGAGTAATTACATGCACAAAGAGACAACTAAAGTGCAGAGCCTGTGGGATACATACTTTTTATTTATGTTACTGCAGAAGTGATTACTGAAAGATTTCTTCTGCATGAAGATGAATGAAGTATTCTCAATAAGCTTCAGATGCTTACACCCACTGCATTGCTTTTAAATAAAAATGCTTACTTTCTATACAGACAACAGCAAAGTAGTAAGCAAACTGACAACACATTCCTTTAATATCAAAATGTTTCCAAGGCAACATTATTAAAATTATACCACAATCCCCAGTAACGTGAAACTTTATAAAGAAGGTGGTAGGGAAACATTCCTTATCCAGTTAATAGCTTAAGTGCTCTTCTTTTCTTCACCCAGCAAATTCACTGTTGCTTTCTTGGCTGCAGGAGGAAAAAAGAAAAGAAAAAAAATTAATTTTCATGGCCTACAAAACAAATGACTATATGCTGTTCTTGAGCTGCATAGAAATTTTATCATCCTCTCAAGTTACAAAAAAAAAGTTTTAAAGTGTGTGCCTGCACACACACACACACACACATATATATATAAAAATATGGCTTGTGTAAAATATATATGTGTGCATATAGAGAGATGATACTGATAATATAAAATATAAGGCTTTTCAAAAACAATGTATTGAATCTAAACCATGTATGAGAAGCAGCACAATAAACACCAAAGACTGTCTTGCTACTATTTTAAGGAGAAAACAGGTCTAAGTCACAGCCTTTAGGACTTCTTTACAATTCACAGCAATAAGTTACTACCATGCTGCTGAAAATGCTCAAATAATGCTAACACAGGTGGCCGTGCGTGGATATGATTTCTTGAAAACATATACATATATGCAAATTATTATCTAAAAAATGGAAAGAGAAGTCTAAGTGATGGAATGAAGACAGAGGAATCCAATGTGTGAGATGAAAGAATAGTTTTTAAGGTATCTCCCTAACAGGAATGATTCAGTGAGGGTTATACAGCAAAAAATTCCAAGAATACCAGAGAAACTGCAATGCTGACAGGAAAAACAGCAAGAGGAAGGTAAAGGGTTAGGTAAGAAGAAATAACACTACATGTGGTGTCTGGGGAAAGGAGATTTGAGGTACTTTGAAGTTACTTCAAAAAAAATACTCAATTTAAATACTTCAGCTACTCAATACAAATGCCTTCCTTACTCATAAAATTATCATAATATGTTATAGAGTTTAAGCCTCCAGTTCAGAATGCAGTTCAGAAAGAAAAGAGTAGAAATTAAAGAGTAGCAAGCTTCAGGTTGTGACACAACTAGGAGATCTCCCTAAAGAAATGAATTTATTTATTTATTTATTTAAAAGTTGGCTCAGAATTCTTCGATTTCAAGAGGACAGAAAAGTACAAATAGTTACATAGATGGGAAAAGTTAATTTTACATGCTGCTGCTTGTTGGGAATACAACGTTTTGCATTACTAGATCCTTGGCAGTTCCTTCATAATGCCAGGTATTTTAGATGACAGTTTAAGGAGAACCAAGAATGCAACTGAATGTAAATACAGCGTAACTGTATTTATGGAAGCTATTTTGTGAGGACATGCTGAACTGTTCTGTTCATCTATGTAGAGCATTTATCTGGATATCTGTGTTGGAAAGAGCTAGTTACCCATTTCATTTGGTTAAAGGCTTTGTTTTCATCAAGCGTAACCACAGTTCTGAATGCTAAAATTGACTGTGATCCTCTTTTCTTGGTACCTTCATCCAAAACTAACTTCTCCATTAAAATTCACACACTCTTCTTGCATGATTTTCTTCCAGAGATGGAAAATAAGAACTTTAATATCAGGGTTGCAAATCTGAATGCTTCCCAATTGACACGATCAGGGATGGGTCTTTTTCTCACCTTCTTTAGTGATGGTATCTGCAGTTTCCGCAGCCTTGTCCTTGAGGTCTTTGACCACGCTGTCCAGCTGCGCTTCGTGCTTCAGGAAGAAGGGGCGGATGACTCGGTGGTAGAGCAGCTCTGCCCCGTTGGAGGGGCTTGGAGCCATGCACCACAGCAGGAAGCCACACTGCGGGGACAGGGGCGCACATCAGCACGGCCGGCGAGGCGGGACGCGGTGCCACGCGCCGCCTGGCCTCGCCTGCCGCCCCGTCGCGTGCCGGGCGCCGTGGGGCGTTTCGTGCCGCCCGCCTCCCTGCTCAGCAGGCACGGCGGGTGCCGCGGGTTGTCGCCCGCCTTGCCCTCACACTGCCAGGCACATTCGCAGCACAGCCCGACCCCAACCCCGCACGGCCAAGGCCTCCCGAGGGCGCCCCGCGGCCTCGCTTCTCACACCGAACCTCACCCCGCGGCTGTGCCGTGCTGTGCTATGCTGTGCCATGTATACTGACTGACGGGATAAATGAGGACGGCCGTAGCGGGAGGGGTGAAACTCATCTCTCTAAAAAAAGAACATCTTCTAAAGTTTAAAAAAAAATCAGCAGTATGAAATCCAGTTAGACCAAAGAATTAGCCTCTCTAGCTGGCATGAGGGAGGTGTAGATCCCTCCATCACTTCCATGCAGCTAAGACACATTCCTGCCTTTTCTGCTTCCTTACCATGAGAAAGCAGCAGGGAATGGGGTGGTGAGCACCCAAATGTTGATGCTTACACAAGGAGAGGGCAGAGCCTAACTGTGCACGGGGCACAGACGTGGGAAACCCTTTAGGAGTGCACGATTTAGGCGCAGCTTTCATGCCACCCTCCGCTGGGGGAAACGAGCAGAAAAAGGAAACGAGCATCTTTTTGCTTCTTAAAACTGTCTTCTCCCCTTTTTGCATCTTAAAAAGGGGAGAAGACAGTTATTACACATGTTACAAATGTCTTCCCTCACGACTGGGGCACCTTTTAGTTGGCTTTCTTTCCTCTGTTACATAAAATAAAAAGCCAATTAGGCACACAAAATCCAAACAGAGAGTGGCTCTGCGAGGATACATACATATATAAGTGTGTGTATATTTATATACACACACACACACAGAGGTTCTGATGCAACGGGCAGATTTTCCCAACAATATTAGAGTTCCTTTAAGACGCAAGGATTAGACCATCACCAGAGGTCACAACCCTATCCAGGCAATAAAGGCAGAACAGCTTTGCAAGGATAACACCGCCACCTCAGACAAAATGTGCTTTGCTTTAGGCGTGATTCAGGCCTTTGAGGATTTCCACATCTTATTGTGAGGAGAGAGACAGTCAGAAGGAAGAAAAAAAACACAAAATCCCTACTTTTCCTCCTGAAAAGACTCACACCCAAACTCACTGGGTAGACAACAAAAACAGAAAGTATCAAATTAATCATTTAAACTGCACGCAACTTAAAATTATGCCATTAAGTGAAAGCGATAATGCCACTTTTTAACAGCATTGACAAATATCATGTCTTTCAATAGGTTAGATTTCAGAAGTTTTTTTGGTATACGTATCTTCACGTAGCTATTTCTCCAGGGGCCGAATAAAAAGCAAAGGCTGTTTCAGTGCATCAGAGCTTCTGAGAGAAAGTCATTTTTAAAACATAAGCAAGGCTTTTTACTTATTTATGAAGTTTCCAGTTTACTGCATAACTTAAAAGCATTTCCTAGAAACAGATTTGATTACAGTGTTCTTTTCGAAATCCACTGTGCATAGCTAGATATTTCTGTCTCCTTCCTTCCCCTTACACTTTTCATTTTCCACTGGAAAACTGCTCTCAAGTATTACTTTGGTGCCTCATAAGAAAGTCCTAAACAACAATTTCACCATTATGAGGTGAAAGAAATAGTAGAAGTTATCTTAAAAGGAAGGTTTTTGATGAAAGTTTAACAAAAAGAACAAAATTTCTTTTGCATTATGAAAACCACACAGTTTTCTTCAGTTAAGCTTTCCAAATATTTTGTGTTATCTTCGCTCTGTTCTTCCCCAGAGAATCAGAGAAGGGATATGGACATTGAAAGCCATACACATTTTGCTGTTCAGAAACATCAAGTTTTGGCCTAGTTTTCACTGTAATACACAACAAGATAAAATTCTCTCTATAATGCCCATCTCTTCAGGTAAGTATCTTTAACCTACTACACCAGGAAGAAACTGCTATTTATTTTTTAAGGCTATTTTTCTTTCCCCTTGATAAAACCATTTATGATATATTGGGAGCTGGAGAGGTATCCTAATAGGACACTTCTTCAAAAAGTACAGCTCTGTCCTGGGGTGAACAACTGCATTATATGGCAGATTTTGCTTAACCTATTTAACACCTTTTCAGGTAAGTTTTAAACTTGTTTCTTTCAAGCATGTGGCTGTGACTGCCTATCAGAATGACTTAAAATATAATGTTTTCTCAGAGGAGAAAGACTTTCTAAAATATTTTGTTCACAATAAAGTGCCTTACAAATCAGAATGCCTAGCAGAGGCATTTCAGTTAATCGAACATAATAATTTAACATGAAATAATATGTGGCATTAGTAAATAGCAATTGCTGCAGTCTCATAAAGCATGCCTAGAGAAAACAAAAAGCAGCGATGGAATACTTATTTTCAAAAGCCTCTATGCTTTTATTTATGCCTAATATAGCATAAAGAATAATATATCATGCTGTTATCCTTCATTAAAAGCTGAGAAGTATATTGATTTTATTTCCTGTAAAGAATAACTGCTAAGCACTACATGTTATTTTACCTGTCCCAATATACCACAGATGTTATTCAGTTCTCTTTTGTTTTAGGAAATCCCTCAGCTGTCAGTCCAAATTCCTCTTAAGTTAGAAGACGAAAGTTACTTTTACCTCTCCAGGAACAAAAGTATCGATTTTCATTTTACAATCTTCTCCCAGTCAAATGGGAGAAATTAAAACTGTGCAATTTACAAATTTGTCCTCAAATGTCTATTACTTTTGAAATGTACTGAAACGACTGAACATTTTCAAGGCGATATGTATCACAGTAACACATCTCAGTCTTCTCAAAACTGAAGTGTCAGAATGCTAAACCTCATTTATTCTTCTGTAGTCTGCTTACAGCTTGTAAGAAGAGTCTGGGACTGCTCTGACTCTGGGAATTTTCAGCTGAGGGAGGTGGGAGGACAGGTATTACTCTCCTTGGGCGCCACAGGAAGGATTGGTCTTCATGGAAGAGTCACTTCCATCAGCTTGATCTGAAATACTTGGATTTGGTGCTAACGCCTGTTCCTGCCCTGACAGCACAAAGCAGAATGCATCTAGTTTCTGCACTACAACAGATGAAGCTACTGCAGCTAGGAAAGGCGCTTCAGTTCTGCGCTTCTACAGGTAGAATTCTGTCAAAACACAAGACTTGCCACATGTGACTAGAGATGTGAACTCAACTGACTGCTTTAGCCATTAAAACAAATGCTCACTTCCATGAAAGTGGAAATAATCAAGAGACATACTGAAAAAGAGTGATTTTTTAAAAATGAATTGTAAAAATTGTCACCACATTAGAGAACCACAAAAATAAACAGAAATCAGGCACGACTGAAGAGAAATAAAACCCAGGGACATCCAAAATAGTTCTCAACTGGAGAACAAAAATATATGCAAGTAAGTGTTTCAGCATGTCTTGTATTCATCTGCAAAAATTCCCAGGGCACTTAAGACTATATGGTTGCAGAGTGTATATCCTGAATAGCAGAAATATGGGAACACCTAAGATTGGAGTCCAAGTCCTGCATATCAAAGTAAACGGAAACAGCAGTAGCCAAGCCTTAGTCCAGAGTACAATCTATAATTGTACATAATAAATAGCAGTAGAGATATTTAACATAATTGAAAAAGGAGAGACTTTGAAATCTGTTTGTATGACCTATCTGTGTTTCCATTTCAAAAGATCAGAAAGGAAACCTAGAGACATCACAAACTGCCTTATGAGAGGCTTTGGTCTCAGCTGGATTGAAAGTGCCATGCTGTGGACTTTCCCCACAAGGATGGGGCTCTCCCATCCTCCCACCCACTCAGTACTGCTTTCTGGCTCTCAGCCAAAGCACCACAAGAGCAAATCCTCCTCCTCCTCACTGCTGACAGCAAACTTGTACACATACATCCCCTCTGTGGTTACCCTGGAGAGCTAGGGTGCATTTGTCTTCAGTGCTTCCTTCATTTCTTTTGCTTTCTGCTGAACTGAGAAAAATATGTCAGTATTCATTGCGCCACTGCATGTCAATGTGGTATTTCTGGGACTGGATTATCAGAGCCATCTGTGTTTGGTGTTTACTTGCTAGGCCAGCCTGAATTACAATTGCATGCTCTTCAGAAAGGCTGCTGTGACACATTTTTTCCACCAACACATTGGAAAAGAAGATCTCAAAACACACTGTATGGATTCTGAATTGTTAATGTTAATATACCTTATATATGTAGATATATGTTGGCTTTTAGCTCCTAAAACACTGCAGTTCTTTCCTCGCCATCCACGCCAGCTTCCCCTCTTGCTATAGGAAAGCATCAGCCTTATGAAGATCACTTTCATAGTATTAGAATAACAAATTACATCTATTGTCATCTAAAAATAAGGTTGCGATCCAGTGATGATTCCAGGGAAATCTGTTGTCATCTATTTGTTCTGAAAACATTGTATCAGTTACATCAGAAGTATTGTTTCAGGGGAGGGGGGAATGAATTAACCTACCTTTAGCATGTAGTAGAAAGGGAACCACGACAGAAAGATATCAGAGAAGAATTCTGCTATGCTGAAAACACCGTACACAACCCAGTAAGTCAGCCACTGCGTGTCATCATCTTTGTTGGGGCTTTCAATAGCCTTGATTCTGTGAAGAAACAGAACAAGTGAACAGGTCAGCAGTGCCAGTTTTACCTACTGTGAGGTCTTCGTGCCTTAGATTCGTTGTTACACACAATTTCCCAGACTTTGTGTATACACTGTGCAGAAGAGGCCTACATATGTAATATAATATGTACATAATATTACCTATCATACTATGAGACTGAGGTCTTTGAAAAAAAGTCTCTTCCTGAACATGAGGGTCAGAAAAGAAAAGAAACTTGATCATCAATTTGTTGGATAGAGGACGAGAGGGGAAAGTATTTGTTCAGTTTGTTCAGTTCTGCAGGCATCTATATTACTATTTTAAATTTAGTTCAGGATTTTGAAGCGAGTCTTAAATATCTTACCACATACATGACCTAGGTTCCTTTTTGAAAAGGTAGACAGCAGATGTGCTCTAACCACTGACATGCACTTCCACCTTGCGGAGGCAAAACAGAGCTTGTGCAAACTAACCTACCCAAACATGTGGAGTGTGGCCTGCAGATGTGCAGCAGCAACTGCTTCCTCACTGTCATGGGACTTGCAAACTGCGGCACAGCCTAGGTTGTCAAAAGAGTGCACAGCAGTCTTCAGTATGAAGTCCTGAGATTCCTATTTAATAACCAAACGACTTCTTGTTCTCCAGCTTCTAGGAGCTCATGTTTATGCAGTCTTCCCAAAAAAAAAAAAAAAGTTTGAGTAAAAAATGCCTGAGTTTTCTTCAGTAAAAAGGAGAGATTCTATATTTGCTAAGCCCTAGATTACTACCACCGATCTCAGAATGGTTGTGGCTACAAGTAACCTCTGGATCACCTAGTTGAGACCACCTGCTCAACCGGAGTCACCTACAGCCTCTTGCCCAAGACCCTGTCCAGACAAATCCGAGCATCTGAGAAGATGCAGAGCCCAACACCTCTTTGGGCAACCTGTTCCAGTGCTCAGCTACTCACAGTAAAAATGTTTTTCCTTATGTTCAGACATGGTTTCTTCTGTTTCAGTTTGTGCCCTTTGCTTGCCATCCTATCACTGGAAAGTCCTCACTGAGAAGAGTCTGGTCCCATCTCCCTTAAATTTCCCCTTCAGATACTTAGCAACGTGCATTGCTAAGTACACAGCCTTCAGTCTCCTCCAGGCTCAAGAGGCCTAGCTCTCTCAGCCTCTCCTCACAGGACAGATGCTCCAGTACCCTGTTCACCTTAGCAGCCTTTTCCTGGACTCACTCCAGTAGCTCCAGTCCCTCTTGCACTGAGGAGCCCAGCAGGACACACGGCTCCAGATGTGACCCCACCAGGCTGAGCGTGGTGTGGGGGGAACCATTCCCCTTGACCTGCTGGCACTGCTCTTCCTGATGTATCCCAGGACACCCATGGCCTTGAACACAAGGTCATAGTGCTGGCTTATGGTCGGTTTGGTGTCCACCAGGACGCCCAGGTCCCTCTCTGTAGAGCAGCTCTCCAGCAGGTCACCACCAGGCTGTCCTGGTGCCCGGGGTTTTAGAACAAAATACTATCAATGGGTGAATTGGATAATGTGAAACCTCAGAATTTTAGAAAGCACCTATCCTCTCCCTACTCATGCCACGGGATTAAAATTGTTTACTTAGTTCACTGAATTTAATAAATGTTCTTAAACTTTTTTCCCCCTTAATATTAAATATGGTGCTGCTGAAGATGCGCCACCTGTGAGATGTGCCAAAGGTGTAAAATTTTCTTTTAAAATGTGTAATGAAGATCAGAAGGTAGATTTGCAGCAAACTAGAGAGATGGCTGTCAGTGAGTACGTTTCCTAGTTCTGTAAGTAAGAAAAAAAAAATCATCTGTGCAACTCGTTTTGGCAGAAGTACCGACCCCCTCATGGCACACACATATCCGCTGGACTGGCTGAAGCCCCAGGCAGCTTTAGCCTGAAAGGCAGCACCAAGATTTTGCACGTGCTCTGTACCCACGTGCTGGGTCAGCGAGAGCCGAGGCCCTGAGCATGCGGGACAGTGACAGCCCTGGCCCCATGCTGTAGAGCACAACTAGGTGCGTCTGTTCAAGTACCATCTGCCCAACTGGAAAAACGGGTTTTCCCAGGCGGAGGGCAGCAGGTCTGCGCACTGCTCCTCTTGGAAAACTGCAGTTCAGGAGCATTTCCCTAAGGCAGCCGTGGACTCGGCCAGCTCCTGCCCACCAAGCTCTGAACTCGTGGTTCCTCCTGGGCCTGCACCTCTCTTTCAGCTGTTCCAGTACCACTGGATAGGGAGCTCTGCAGAAACATCTTCCTGATGCCTGGGAGGAAGAAGACTATGGATCTGGGCTGTTTCCAAAGTGTGACACCACACTTCTGGAAGGAAAGAAGTAAAGCAGAGGTAATTAGTACGAAATGTACAATGCTGGGGACAAATAAAGGAGAGAACAGAACTAAATGTCAAGTTTCCTAGTGTTACAGAAAACTTGCTGTAGGCCTTAAGTGCATGAATCCCTGTGGTTACAGACAAGCTCTCCATTAGAGGTATTTTATATTGATGAAGGATATTTTGAGATTTCAAAATCCACACGTTGGCTTGCTATTTGTGAGAGAATGCTCAGCAGTGAAACAGCTGACAGCCTTGCTCATTTCCAGTCACTGTTTGAAGACTTCCACAGATTAAGCACATACTGTTTAATTTTTGTTGGTATTATTAAAGCCATCTTAGAAATCACGAAAATTGGAAATTTTCATCACAAAACTTAATAATAATGATAATAATAACTACAAAACCAATAACAATAATGTATCAAGACTAAGAAGTTAAGCAGATAGACTTTTTTCCCTGTCAGCTGTTCACTGACTTTTGAAATACTTCAGCTTCCTAGGGATACCAGTTTTGTTTGAGTGCTTATGTTGTAGATATAAGTGTATATTGTACACTTATATCTACAACATAAGCACTCAAACAAAACTCCCAAGATAGAGCACCTGTTGCTCCAAAGCCTTCATGACCTCCAAGTGCCAGCAGCACCTACCAGGCATCACCACCAATCTTGTATATTTCAGTCAAACAGAAATGCTGTGAATCCTCAAGCAGTGAAGCAAGAGATGTGAATATAAGCTATTTTTTTAACTAGGAATTATTAGCCCTGATGTCACCAAAAAAAAA